GACATCCCTGTAAAAACAATTGGGGAATCTGTCTAATAATTTTCTGTGCATATATCAAAATTAGGGATCCGCTTTGCAGCTTTGACCCGACCCGATTCAATTCGGGTTTTTTTCATGTCTCTGCTGCCAGTAAATCTCCTGAAATTCACTTTTCTTATGAAGCCTTTTTGTTTATTCGTGTTAAATCAATCTTCTTTAATCTTGGAATCATGTTTTTGCATTGATATGTAAATTCTTTTGTTTTCATATGTTTAGAATTTTATTGGTATATTAGTAGATTTTGTTATAATCCACAGAATGGATTTCGTTTGATAAATTTTTTCGTATACATAGTTAATATTTACTGGCATCTATCGAAATTTAATAGTCACCAAAAAAGTTCTAATTAGACATCAAACTTTTTTGTCCAAAAAAAAAAGACATCAAACTTTAAATTGTGGAAAAAAATGTATACAAGACATTTTAAAGATTTGTAAAATTAATTTATAACCGTTAAACATTTGGCGAGGACGTTGCGAGATTTAAGGGCAGAATTTTACACTGCCAATTGGATTTACAGGTTACAATAAGTAACAACTTCCTCTAAAATTCATGTTTCTAGAGTAATATTTTCTTTAAGAAATGTTTTAAATCAATTAATCACAAACCATTAAGATCATTAAGAAAACAATTAAAACAACACGCTTACGATTATGTTCTCATCAATCTCGTAATATGAAGGCCAGAAGGCCCAGACCTTGAAACTCGTCTTCTGCTAACGACTCAAGTCTAAGTGTCTCTCAATCCTCCAGTCTCCATTTCTAAAGAAAGCATTAGTTTGCATCATCCAATTTTTGTTTTCTATTAGCTTCCAAATTACTCCCGACTCTCAAAACAAAACAACCTTACGATCTCCTCTACAAACATTTTCTCTACATTCTTCTTCAGTGAAACAACATCCCAAGAACTTAATCATTCGCTTCAACTCAACTCCAATCTGGTTCTTGAGTGCCTTTACGTAACAAAAAAGGAACTTCTCAGTGTTCTCTTTGCTCGCATACCAATATCTCAACAACGCTCCCAAAATGGGCCGTCCACCTATAAACTTCCCTTTACAAACACTTCGACCACATCTTCAATGGGATAATCTGTGGTTTCTTGAGCCGCAAGTTTCTTTTCAAAGTGTCCTAGGGAAATATACACAAGACTTGTCACGAGCTTTTTTAGGGTATAAATACTACTCTTGACTTATTGAATAGTTAAGACATTACGAACTGGTTCCTTATAGGGTTCCTGCAACAACACAAAATCTTACAAGACGAGCTCTTAACATGTGAGATGCGCCTGCTCAGGAGTCTTGAAGAAGGCAGATCCTTGGGGAAATGTATTTTTTTGCAGTAAAATCCCTCAAAGAAATGCATGGGAAGATACGGATTGCAAACACAGAGAGGATGATAACCACTTTACCAGAAGAAACAAAAAAAATAATGTGTGATTAAAAATTAGAAAAAATTAATGTAGGCTTTTCCTACCAATATTTATTAGGAATCATATTCTTCCAAATTTTTACACATTTGTTACGAAATATATATTTGATAGGAAATTCGAATGAAATCTTCTACGACAAAGTCGGAAGAAGTTTGTAGGAACTTTCCTACGAAAAATCCTATGAAAACAAATGTCGTAGGAAAGTGGAATGAAAGGCAAAGAAAAAAATTGGTAAGCAATTCAAAGGTATATTTCCTTCCAGTTTCCTACGATCAGACCTTCGTAGGAAACCGCGTAGGAAATGCGAAGGAAAGTTATGGAGAAATAATTAGTAGGAAAATCGTAGGATCAGCGTAGAGATTTTTATTAACACGTTTGTAGTTCGGTAGGTGGTGTGACAAGTATGTAAGAACGTGTTGATTATTAGGTTGGTGTAATAGTAATATATTTTGGTAGGAAATTTGTAGGAAAACTGTAGAAAACGTCTATTTCCTTCCAATCTCCTACGATTTTGGCCGTAGGAAAACACTGCATTTCTTGTAGTTATATATTCCAGAAATATCATATATATGTTTAGTTCCAGAAATATTTGTAGATATAGACATTAGCATAATTAGTTTATGAATTCAGTTATTCTCATTGTGATTGCGAAAATGCCAATTGAAGTACTGCTTTGAAAGGGTATTCTTAAATCAAAGTAAAGAGAATGTATCAAGTAACATATTTGGTGCTCATAAATTTTTAGCCTTGCTATTAGTTGTTTTGATTCGCTCTTGATTTTTTGGCAACCAAGAACTATGACACCTTAAACATCTATGTTCGTAGTACAATGTTTTTTTAAGAAAATATAAAATAAGATAATTCTTTTTCCTTGTAAGTTATCTTTTGTATAGATACAGACCTCAAGGTCACGTAATAAACATATTGACGGTTATTTTTTTGTTGACGGTTATTTTCAGTGTGTCTTTTTATCGCAACTTTCCGATAAAATATCGGCGGTTACTTTTTCGTTTGTGTCTTTTTATCGCAAATTTCGTTAAAATATTGACGCTTATTTTTTCTCGGTTGTGGTTTTTATCGTAACTTTCTGTTATAATATTGACGGTTTATTTTTTCTCGGTTGCATCTTTTTATCGCAACTCTTCGTTAAAATATTGATGGTTATTTTTTCTCAGTTGTGTCTTTTATATCGCAACTTTTCGTTAAAATATTGACAGTTATTTTTCTCGGTGGTGCCTTTTTCTCGGTTACCTTTTTGCTGACGGATATTTTTTCGGTTGTTTCTTTCTATCGTAACTATCGGTTAAAATATTGATGGTTACTTTTTTCGGTTGTATCTTTTTATCGTAACTTTCCGTAAAAATATGAACGGTTTATTTTTCGCGGTTATGCCTTTTTATCGCAACTTCCGTTAAAATTTGACAGTTATTTTTTCTCGGTGGTGCCTTTTTATCGCAAATTTTCGTTAAGATATTGAAAGTTACTTTTTTGTTGACGGTTATTTTTCGGTTGTGTCTTTTTATTGCAACTTTTCGATAAAATAGTGGCGGTTAATGTTTTCGTTTGTGTCTTTTTATCGCTATTTTTTGTTAAAATATTGAGAGTTATTTTTTCTCGGTTGTGTTTTTTTACCGCAACTCTTCGTTAAAATATTAACGGTTACTTTTTTTGTTGACGGTTATTTTATCGGTTGTGTTTTTTTTATCGCGACTTTCCGTTAAAAAAATTGACGGTTACTTTTTTTTTTTTGTCTTTTCATCGCAACTCTTCGTTAAAATATTCACGGTTACTTTTTTCGTTGATGGTTATTTTTTTGGTTATGTCCTTTTTATCGTAATTTTCCGTTAAAATATTGACGGTTACTATTTCCGTTTGTGTCTTTTTTTATCGCAAACTTTTCGTTAAAATATTGACAGTTATTTTTTCTCGGTTGTGTCTTTTATCGCAACTCTTCGGTTAAAATATTGACGGTTGGTTTTTGTTGACGGTTATTTTTTCGGTTGTGTCTTTTATTGCAACTTTCCGTTAAAATGTTGACGGTTATTTTTTATGTTTGTGTCTTTTTATCGCAACTTTCGGTTAAAATATTGACGGTTATTTTTTCTAAGTTGTGTTTTTTTATCGCATTTTTTCGTTAAAATATTGACGGGTTATTTGTTTTGGGACAGTTCTATTTGTTCATTTATAGTCATAGTTTTTTCAGTTTACGGTTGTGTCTTTATAGTTGCATCTATTCATTTAAATACGTCTCTTCACTAGATTCATTGCCTTTTTTGTCACACTTTTTCTATGAATAGTTGTGTATTTAAATGTTCAGTGACTTTTGAACTCTATATATTTGTCCTTCTTCCTAAGTAGTTCCCAAATTTTTTGTTTTCTAACATAGATTATTTGTTTTCATGAATGAATCCAGAAAAAATAATCTGTAAAATGGCTCCAAATTCTTTATTCTCTAAATTATTTCTAAACATACATCATTTTAATATTAAAGAAATTTTTCTCATTCTGATCTAACCAAAGTTTTTTGGAATAATTATAAACATGGAGAAATTTTAATCAACTTTATATATATATAAAAATTCTAATGAAGATAGCAACAATTTTTTTTTAGAATTGGACGGATTATATAGTGAATTGTTTTATTTAATTATTTTATATTGTAAACAATGATGCTTTCTATCTTAAGGCAATATATATATATAAGATTATATATATATATATATATAATATATATATCTATATATGGGTTTGTATACAAGGAAATATTGATATTGCGTTAACACTATTACAACGTTCGAATATGAGAAGCCATCCTCATGTGACGCTTGTGATTGGGTGTTTTAAAATGTGGTAAGCGTCAAATGAACTGTTTCAAATGGTATAGTAATCCATTAATCATCTACATTATTAGAAAAAAACAATGATTCTAATTTCGTGACATGATATTCAAGGATAAGGTTTTTTTACTCAGTTAATTTATCAATATCAAATATAATTTATGAGATCTTGTAAATGGTTTATTTTTTGTTATAGATGTAAGTTACGTCATCAAATTTTTTATTTTCTCGAATATATATAATGATAAATATGAATTTTATATTTAAACACAGTGGACAAACAAAAAACATCAATTCTCGGGCGAAGTTCTTAGTCACCCACAAATCATTCTGAGTACCGATCTCCATCCGAATTTTTGGATTTTGACCCCCTAGAATTTTTTATCTCTATATTATAACTCTTCGTTATGTATTTTGTCACTTATAAATAATTTTACATTCATAAAAAATATTTCAAAAGTGTTTTTAATCATAATTCTTCTTTTTACATTTTTTTCATAAATTATTTTCACATCTTTAGAAAATATTTATATATAACTTTAAAACAAAGTTAATTTTATGTAATATTCATATATTTGAATTATAAAACTAAATATACCATAATTAGTCAGATCATATCACTACTCTTTTTTTTAGTCAACCACATATATCAAGAGATCAGAACACTACGTCATTCTCTAAAAATGAAACTATTATGAAGACGTAAGAAATTGATTAATCCAAATGGTAAGTGAGTAGATTTTCACTACAATGATTCTTTTTACAAAATGTTACAAGAATTTTGGTATATTCTGCTTTAGACTCTAGATTCTAAAGCAAACACATAACACATATACTGTTTGACCTATATACCTCCTATTTTTTTCTCCAATACAACCAATATGCAATGTTCCAATTTCCAAAATCAGAAATTCCAAACACAATCAAGATTCACTGGGCCAGTTGAAGCAGAAGGATCGTGACCGTGCAAAGAACTCGAGGCTACTTCACTCTCCGAGGAACCAGAATTCTGAAGATTCTTCTTAAATTGGGTTTCTTCACTGTCAAGCAACATCTTCAGTATAGAAGAATTCTCTTGCAGAAACAGAGGACCATAGTCTAGTAGAGAACCAATGTTTGGTATCAAGTTAGTCGATGCAGAACCGAACATGGTAGTTTTAAAATCGTCTTTAAACTCGGCCACAAGACTCTTGTCGTCGGTTGTTTGGTCGAATAAGCAGGTCATGTTAGAAAACAAACCACCAAGGGTGGTTCCTGCAAAAGAGTCTCGTCCTCTACTCTTTAGATATGGAGAAGAATCCATCAGCGGAGGTAAACCGGCCGACATATGCGCCTTCGTACCATCTGCCGGTTTATGAAAAACACGACTAATAACAATTCGTTCTGTATTCACAAACAACACAAAAACTTATAATCAAGGTTTTGCTTTAAAAAAAACTCAGCTCACAACAAAAACAGAGAACTATGATAATAGGGCCGGTCCGGAGGGCAAGCAAGTGAAACCGTCGCTTAGGGTCTCACATTATTAAATACTTTTTTTCGGGAGAAATTTTTTTTTACATTACCAAAAATCCAAATTTTAGTTATGCGTAGTGCATCAAAGAAAATTTTGAAACTTTATTACCTTAGCGGGACTTTTAGGGAGATTATCGATGGCGAATTTGCCTTCTAAGCGATATTCATGCATGACCCAACTGGTTTTTACTCCTTTAGGAGCTCTTCCTTTGTAGAAAACCAAAGTTTTCTTCATACCAACAAGAGCTTTCCCTTTGAAGATCTCTTTATCTTTGCCTGTAGCTTTCCAATAACCGGCTTTAGTAGCCCGATTCGTCCTTAAACCGGTAGGGTATTTCCGGTCTCTTACGCAAAAGAAGTACCACTCTTTTTCCCCAATCTTAGCCTTCCCTAAAAAAACAGAGTGATTAGAAGTAACAAAACAGATTTTTTTAGATACCTAGAAAAGAAATGACCTATAACTTACAAGGCAAGTCCCAAGGCTCGACCTTGTTGAGATCAACTTCACCAATAGCTATAGCAGAGAAAAAAGAGTTTAGAACCTTTGGTCTTAGATAGTGAGTTATAAGTTCTTCATCAGTTGGATGAAATCTAAAACCAGGTGGCAAATCAATCTTCTCTGAATCTTCTACTTCTCCTTCTGCGGTCTCCCCAATTCTTGATACCTTGTAATCCATTTCAGCGATCAGATATCAAAAGTTTCAACTTCTGGCCAAATGTTTTGTTTAATGGTTGTGGAGATGAAGAAAGATAGAAAGAGTTTTTTGATGTTAAAGCTCTTATACTAGTTTGTATAAGATGAAGAACAATATTATTATAGGTTTTATTCACCAATAATTGGTCATTGTTTGGTATCAAAATTATTATTTTCTAAAACTATTTAAATCCGAAGGAAAATATACAAAGTAGATAGAAATAAAAGCTATATATTAATATCTCAGTTTTAAATTACTTTGACAAAAAAAAAAAAAATCTCAGTTTTAAATTAATAAAGTATATATATACAATCTGATGTAGACCTGAAAACCCATAACATACCATCGTTCCAAAAATATATTATAAAATTAATTTTGGTTTAATGCTATCTTAGTTTCTATTACAAAGATGCGTAGTTCAATAGGCAACTTAAGATGTTATTAGATCACCAAAAAAAAAAAACTTAAGATGTTATTTTGAAGATATTTTTTTATTACAACATTATTAAACCTTTCTGTTTCAAAAGCTTTAATATCTCCAAGTTTCAATTTGACCAGAAACATTCACTTGTGGCTTCCCCCATCCATTCTGTTGATGCGATAAGAACAATCTTATCACATCACTGATGACGTTTTTTGTCCATTCTTTAAACTAATTATTTATATTTTCATAAGAAGAAAATATAGCAAAGTTTTTTTTTTTGTTTAGATAAAAGTTTTTTATATGATTATATCCATTGAAAACATTTTTAGTTCTATATTGGGAAAGAGCTTGAGCTTTCTAACAACAATAACTCAGGCTTCTAACTTAAGAAAAGTACTATAACTAGAGCAACACATTGTGGCTTGGCTCCTGTCACTTGTCCAGATATAATATTACGTCTAGAGTTTAAACTCTATATCATGTACGTGTAGATTGAATTATCTCTATAACATTATGAATCGTTATAATTGTCGATCGATCTATTACATAGAAAAAAAGAGAGAGTAGAATTTTACGTTTAGATACATGCATAAATGTACTGTTCTCTCCTCTAGACTGTTATGGGTCCTATGTCCCAAGACATCTTTAATCTATAAGGGGTTCAGTTTTTTCGCAAGCGTTGTTCGCATTTGTATCAAACTCTATCATAGATAAGTTCACAAAACTAAGCAAGGATTTGAGCTCTGCGTTCTTTCCTTCCCTTTCTCTTGCGAGAAACACTAGACATTTGAAACTGTGGAATAAATTTAAACCGTCTAATTCCGGCTTAGCACTAACCGAAGACGACGACGAATAGGGAGAATAGTCAGAAACAGGATTGGCAAGTAAAAGGCTAGTCAGCTACAATGCCCAATTTTGAACAGAGAGAGGAAAGAGATGGCAGTTATTTGCACCAAGATTTACTTGATCCATCTCTTTTTTTTTTTTTTTTTTTTTTTGCAAATCTCTCTATGAAAGTAATTTTTTTTTTTTAGAAATTTGACATTTTCTATTCTTTTAATATATTTTAGTTAATTAAAATCCTACAAAGCGGATTGAATATCATCAAGCTGAGTATCTAAAAACACCGGATATTTGGTTAGTTGAAACATAAATTAAAAAAAAAAAAGAACCGATCCAATAGAGTGGAGGAGTTCACAAGAATCACAAAAATTCAAGATACAATCTTCTTCAGATCTGGGAGCTGGTATTTACTGTAGACAGTCAACATTATGATCAGCAAAGATAAGTGCCAGAGAGACAGACGTAAGACGTGATTAGTTTTCAATGGTCCTCAAAAGGTAAGCACTAACCTTTGTTCTTATGAATTTAAACAATTAGTACTTAAAGTGGGTTTTGACCAGCTTCCTGGCACAAATGAGTAAATTAAACGGTTCGAAACAAGACACGTCTCGTTTTGACGGAGGATATTTGGCGATTTATGTCATTGTTTGTGTTAGGCGACCCAATTTTGTGGATATATTAAAGTAAATACTTATTATTTATAAATTGGCAAATTATTCATTAGATTTGCTATATTTTAGTCGTCATTTTGATTTAGTATATGTTTTGACATAGTCCAAAATTTAGATATTTTAAATGATTTATAGGAAAACAAATGATTAAATACACTTTTCTCTGTTCCAAATTTAATGTTGTTTTAGACTATCTTTTTATTTAAAATAAATATCACTTTATGATTTCAATCAAACAATTTGATATGAACGTATCTATTTTAGTCAAACATAATTGTATGAGAAAATATAAAATATAATAAAGTCCAAGAGTCAACTATTTTTTAAGGGATATCTATATTAAATTTTATTTTGTTCCTTTACCTCGAAGTTAAAAGTACTCATCCAAAATGGAACAAAACACAATTCCAAATTTTGAAAGTTAGAATATCCACTTTGATCCATATGGTACATAGTGTATACATATTATAATATAAGTTTATAATGATTTTTTGTTTCATTTTTAGTACCTTTGAAATACATAAAAATAGCTTAAAAAAACACTAATAATTAATGTCCCTAATAACGATAGATGGGTCATATTTTTATAACCCTACTGACGTTGAATTAGTTCTTTTTGAAATCGTAAATTGCTCTGGAATAATCAGCTGGTAGGATAAGTGATTCGACTATTAAACCAAAATGTTTCAGTCGATGCTCTGTGAAAGCTTTTCTCTATCAACCGTCTCTCACTAGTCGTGTTCATATCATAATAACATGGACGGAATGGTTTTAGGAGAATTTGTTCTTCGACAAACTCTCTGACTTTCAAGTTATAATGTGATAAAATGATGTCAAAGAATAAATGTGGTGACTAAGTTATGGGTCACGATACTTTACGACAAGACGCGTTCGACCTACGCGCGGGTCGTTTTTCG